ACAAATTCGTAACTAATTTTTTTCTTAGAGGGTCTAAATTGAACATTCCGTTTTCGTCCGTACAACTAAAGACAGTCAACCACATACAGCAACTATCCTCTATTCAGGATATAAGGTCTATGGAGCTGGCTTAACTCGATTTTTTTTTTATTATTACAGTAACTGCACACCTTGATGCAACCAGGACTCCTAAACCCAAACTGGTGGTACTCATAACGTATATCCTAAAAGTTTTTGGACAAAATTCATTGGCTTTAGTTTTAACAAACATAAACTGCTATCAAGTTGCCTTTCGAAACCAAGGTTTGTTTACTTACTTTACTGTCAGTTGACATTTATTTATTTTGAAGTTTTTGCTTTAAGATGTATAAATTAGAAATAAGAAAAAGTATCTACAAGTTGGTTGAGCAGGTACCCAAAGCTGAAATCAGTCGAATATTCCAGAATGGAAACATTTCTCGCAGAACCATTTATAGAATAGCGGAGTGTGAGCAGGGCATGCCATGTCTGAATCTCTCAAAAAGTGGAAGACCACGTGAGGAGAAATGGTCTTAAATATCGAAAGAGACTAAAGTGCCCCAAAGATTCTCAAGATACTGTCGTACACTTTGCCAATGGAAAAAACATTATTTTAGATGACGAAAAGTATTTCACTTTGAGTAATTCTGAAATTCATACGGACAACGTAGTTGAATGCCCTGACAATGTTAGATAGAAACATAAAGCGATATTGTGGATAAAATCCTTGTCTGGTGCGAAATTTCTAACAAAGGTGTATCCCAACTTTTTGTGACGAGTGACGCTTTGAATAGAATATTGATAACTGCCTTTAAAAATTGCTTCAGTTTGTCCACGAACATCATGCTAATGACCATATCTTGTTTTGGTCAGACCTAGCATCATGCCATTACTCAAGAGATCCCCAAAACTGGCTTCGATAACGCAACATACCTTTTGTTCCCAAAAACGATAATACTCCAAACTTGCCACAGGCTCGCCCAATAGAGGATTTTTGCAAGCCCAAGATGAAGAACAATTAAGACGCGGAATTCAGGAAAAACTGAGGGAAATTGATCTGAATTCCGTCCAGCACCTCATGAGAGACATTCGACGAATGTTGCGTCTGGTAGAGCAGAATGGGCCACTCCACATAATTCGATAGTATATTTTAGTTAAGTATTGAGTTGTAATTTATAATAACTAGCTAGTGTTTAAATAAATTTCTCCATTAAAAAAATACTATAAATACTTTGAGCCAAAACTTTTAGGACACATACGTTAATAGTTGAAACATACGCACAACGACCCGTCATCCAACCTATAAAGTGAACCTTCGCTCGAGTTGTTCACATTCACTCAATCATGTTTTCACGGACCGACAAACTATTCTAGGCAACTTTGTCAGTCGCGTGTCATATCCTTACAAGATTGCACTGATTCCTGATGTAAGTCAGCGTTTTATGCCGTATATGTTGTTTCCTCGTAGATATTACATCATACACACACATTGTACCGACGTAATAACATAACTGGCTTAGCATTCATTATATAATGCAGATAAAAAGTTGCTGAGCTAATGCAGATATACATATATGCACGCCCACGGAGGCGACGTCTTTGGCAGATCTGATGCAGACATTGTAAGACTTCTTGGACAAGCCTTTATTCTCTTTTCTGCGTTTTGTTAAACTTTGCCATGTTTGCCTGCTGACGTCAGATTCAATATAGTAGCATTTTTACCATGGCGACATTAATGCTTTGTTTGCACAGTGGTATCACGTTCTATTCTTTCGGAGGCGAATTTGGTCAGTCATTATTGCCATTTTCATAAGAGCTTGAGCAAATTCCAGTTTCCGCCCTAAGATACTTGCGCTCCGTAGGAAATAAAATCGTAACTTTGCTAGTTAACCCTAAAAAATGTATAAATATAAAAAATGCATTGAAAAACGAATAATTGATTTGTGCATTAAGCGCCAATTTCACCACCATTAATAATTAACGGTCCCTTGGATGAATAGGAAAAGACCTTATCGAAATGCAATTTGACAGAAGCTGTCAAAGCTCTCTGAATATCAGTGATTTCTATTGAAATGTTGAATAAAGTCGTGAAAAAATGGTCTTAACTTTAATAGAATTTCCAATTTTTATCGTTTCAGAAAAGACGGTCAGTTAAGTGGGACCAACGGGAATGCGGCAAATAATAGGTCGATTTTCTAGCTATTATATTTGGTAGGATATTTTCACTGTTTTTGACGACTGTTCATGTATGGCAATCTAGTTTTGTGTGTATATCACCTACATGGTGTTGTACATAATACGTACCTGTAGAAATGTACCGATTTTTGTTATTTTGCAAAAAAAAGGATATAAAACGGTTCTTCATCTTTTGTTACATCAAAAACAATTTTTGCCAATTTATGATCTAGAAATCTACACCAAATATAAACAAACAGCACATTCTGCATTTCTGGGTCCTAAAACATCGAAATTTGTAAAACTATCCGCATCCACCTATCATTCATCGCCTAGATATTATAAGTCAGAATCAAAAATACCTATTTATGAAAATATATCTCTAAACATTGTTATATTTTCTTATTATTTCTATTATTATAACACGCCTGGGATATCAATTGCTTTTACAGTGATCTGCAGTGTTGCTGAACCGGAAAAAAAACGGAATCGCTAAATATGTAGTGTCGTTGAGTTTGGTATAAGGTAAATGCCTCCCAAGATCAGTGGTAGATCAAGGACCTTTGAGTCTTGAAAAACGTCTGTTATTGTATTGGGCGCGCACACATTTTTGATGGCATATTTCTATATTACAACTTCTACAATGTGCATTCTGTTTTACCCCTGAACTCACCTCTCATTTTAATTAAATATTTATTTTGAAAACACACAGGTTTCGGTTTCTTTATTGCTTGTCCGGTGATGAGGTAATGACGGTAACCTACCAGTCTGTATCTTTTGTATGCATAAAAATCAATTCAGGGCAAGCGGAGTAAGGGATGAGGATGAATACTCCATAAAATTAACTCCTAGCTTTATTTTTGGTTTCAGCTCTTTTTCGGCAAATATAGAAATATTTAATTTATTTTGAAAAATCGTGGAGAATGATGTTATCGGTAAATATTCTCTTTTCGGTAAAAATACCGAAAAATCCGGTTCAAGTCCATGCATAGACAATCTGAAATTTGCAATATGAATTTATATTCTAAATTCTATGCATATCCGTTCATATTCGTCAATATTTCATTTGAAGCTTTTATTTGTCAGAAGATTTTAGCAAAATGTAGGATAGTAAAGGCAACACAAAATTATCGATATCCAGCGGAAGGAAACAAAGAAGAAAAGTAATCTGAAGTTGACACAGTCCGGATCGAAAGATGACGATACTCGTGAAATGTATCGATACACCCTAGTGTCGTACACTGAGTTTTAGGTGGCAACCCAACAATTCCAGCGGTAGATATGTTTTTTATTTCTTGAATAGTTCTATGAACCTCATCAGGAGAAATCGCGTGTACAGCCCTGGATCTAATATGTTTATCTGTTTATCTTTATGGATATTAGAATTGTCAAAATTATTACCACCATGTTTCGGTATGATTAAGTTATCTGCAGCAGATGAGAAATAGTCACAGAAATGATCAGCTATTTCTCTTTGGTCAGTCAAAATTGTACCACCACTGTTGACTTCAGTTACTTGGTTATTGTTTTTCAATCTTCCTGTTTGTACATTTACTATTCTCCAAATGTCTTTTGTCAAATTGCTAGAAAATGCTATTTTGTTGTTATTTCTTTAGTTTTAATTTGCCGTTGTTGTATTGTTGTTTAGCTAATTTATAAGCTTTTTTGGAGTCAGCGGTGTTACAATTTAGGTATAGTTCTTTTCCCGGTTTCTGGCAGTTACGTCACATTTCCATACGAAATAAGTGAACAGATTGACTAATGGTACCCTGTGCTTAACCTTTTTCTAAGGGAAATTGCACTCTGAGCAAACTGATTCGTAAAGCAGCTGCTAAACGCTCTTGCACTCACACATGAATTAGGTGATAGAGGACCCGTTGTTTTCACTCTCTTCCTGAAAATACTTGTCATACAGACTGTCGGCATTGTAGATATGTCGTCAGGTACCACTATTTATTATATTGAAGAAGTGTAGGGAAAAACACAATTCACACTCCCAAGACAAGCAAATTGTCATAGTAACAGTGGCAAGCATAAATGGAGGATTCATACCTTGACAGACGTTGTATACAATGTGTTTGGTCACGACATACCGATATTTGAGGGGGATATTTTTCAGCTATTTTTATCGACAAATCCACCCCTACAATGTCCTAACTCACCTCCCTAGAAATGGATCCATACTGCTGCGAATGAACTTAGGGCTGCCACGGATATGGTCTGCGGCTCAACACGACACATTATTTTAAGAACAACAATGTGCATAACCAATAATGGGGGACATTTTGAACAGCTTCTGTAACATTAAACATGTCCAAACTCTCTATAAGAAACATTGATTTGTCATTTTTATGAATAGGAAGTTTGAAAACCATTTGCATTTTATTACACCCATTTTGACCCATGTTAAATAGCATTTAGTGCTTAACGTAGAATACTTAGGATAACAAAAAGCTGTAGAATTAGCACAAAAAAATACAATTTCACAGACTAGTGTTTGAATGGTGTGCGGAAATGCATAAAATAATCAATTTTCTTCCATATTTTTTCCTGTTTTTGTCTGATTTTAAGTATGTTTGACGGTTATTACAATTTTCATACATGCACTAACGTAATCGTAACGTAAAAATAAAAATGGCTACCATTCTGTTCTGTTTATCCGGGTGTTCTTATTAGTATTGCATATAATCGTTACGTTGTCTTTATTCTGTATAGATCTAATATATTTATCATGTGGTTATACTCATTTTACTGGCAAAATACGTTGGGTGCTCTTTAAGAATAAGCTTTCGCCAGATGTTTTCAATATGTCTAGACGTCTAAAATTCATGAGCTTCAACGTAAGGTCAATTCAGTCTGGTTTTCTAACTTTGAAGGAGTATGTTGTTGACTGTGCTGCCGATGTCCTGGGTCTCAGTGAGACTTGGCTAACCCCAGATATTGATTCCTCCTCAGTATTTATCAACGACTTCAATGTCGTTAGAGCAGATCGAAATAGCAGAGGCGGGGGCGTCGCGTTTTATGTGAGAAATGGTATTGCCTTCAAAATATTGCACTCTAATATCACCGCAGTATTGGAAGAACTTTGGATCTCTGTAAAGGTTAATCAACGCAAATATTGTCTAGCTATAGTCTACCGTCCACCATCGGCAAACGTGCTTGACTGTTTTCATCAATTAACTGAGTCTTTAACCAACCTTTCACTCGATAATGATTACGCAATTGTAATGGGCGATTTTAATATTAATGTTTTAGTGAACGACGGCCGATCCGAGATGCTGAACTGTTTTCTTGAGTCTTTTGATCTGTCTCAGTTAGCCCACACGTATAACTTCCAATAGCCAGACAGCTATAGACTTGCTCATGGTTAGCTCTGCTGATATAATAAGTGGTTATGAAGTTGTTGACGTAGATGGAATATCTGACCATCTAGCCCTAATATTTTATGTAGATGCATCGGAGATAAGCAACCTATGTAAACTGAGGACATATCGTGATTACTCTACCTTTAGCCTAGACAATTTCTACCATGATTTAATTTTAATAAACTGGGATTTTATATATACGTTGAGAGATGTGGATCAAATGATTGACTTCCTGAGCTCTAATATCTTGTGCACCTTCAACTTGCATGCTCCTGTCAGAAACATTCGAGTTACCAAGCCACCAGCTCCTTGGCGAACATTCAACATAAAACTCATAATGCGAACCAAAAGTGAGGCATATAAAAAATTTAAACGTACAGGAACGATTGCTGCCTGGGAATTAAGAAAATCAGAAATTATGTTTCTAGTGCTATTAGGCGAGAGAAAAAAGCCTACCTCGATTATGTTATGAGACATAAAAATTCTAAGACTACATGGAATGTACTTAGATCTTTGAATATCGTTAAACATAACTCCATAAGTCTACCTCCACATCTTCAGGATCTCGATTCATTAAATAGTGCTTTTTTAAACGTACCTCAAACAACCAAATCATTAACTCAGTTGAACCTTTTAGACAAATATGAAAACGTCAAGAATAGTGGTACTTTTCTGTTCACGACAGTTTCCCCTGCCACTGTAGAGAAATTTATCAATCGCATCAAAAGTCATGCTAAAGGCTCAGATGGCATCACAATTGATATGATCCGTATAATACATAAGCATTTGCTCAAGTATATTACCTTCATTATTAACTTTTGTATAACAAATAATCTTTATCCCTCTTCCTGGAAGAATGATCTTGTTCTCCCTCTGCCTAAATCTAATTATCCTTCAAGTTTTTCTGATCTTCGTCCTATAAGCATTTTACCAAGTTTATCTAAGCTTTTGGAAATGGCTCTACATGAGCAGCTGCACACATTTGTTTGTCAAAATAATTTACTGACCACCTCCCAATCTGGCTTCAGACCATTACATAGCACCACCACTGCGCTCCTGCGCAATATTTATAGCGCGGCTGATCAAGGAAAGCTGTCCTGCTTAGTTCTTCTTGATTTTAGCAAGGCCTTCGATACGGTTGACCCAAATATTCCCTGTAAAAAGCTTAGATACTTTGGCCTGTCATCATCGGCTTGCACGCTGATTAAGAGCTTTTTAACTGATCGCTCACAGTCTGTCATATATGAAAACAATATATCAACTTCTTTATTCAGAAATTTTGGTGTCCCTCAAGGATCTATTTTGAGTCCCCTTTTATTTGCTCTTTATATATGTGATTTTCATGAAACCGCCAGCAACTCAATCGTTCATCATTACGCCGATGATACCCAACTTTATAACTGCTTCGATCCTGATGAATATATGCTTGGCCAACATCAAATCAATCAAGACCTGCAGTCTATTTTTGACATATCTAGTGCTCACAATCTAAAACTAAATCCTGGCAAATCATGCTGCATTTTATTTGGGCCCAAAAAGAATCGTGAAATAAATCAGTATCGCATTAATATTATGGTGAATAATGAAGACATATCCTTCGTAAACGAATGCAAAAACCTTGGTATCTGGTTTGACTGCAAGCTACGCTTCACTAAACATGTTAACCAACTATGCAATGCGTCCTATAATGTGCTTCGTCAGTTATACCCGAGTCGAAGTGTCCTGTCGACACAGCTCAAGCTTAAAACTCTGCGAGTCCCTTATCCTGTCAAAATTATCTTACGGTGACTCTGTTTATGGACCTGCTCTTTTACAACGTGATGCCGAGCGGATTCAGATGATACAAAACTCATGCATCAGATTTTCTTATGGAATCCGTAAATTTGATCATATTAGTAGCGCTTTTGACCAATCGGGATGGTTTAAGATGAACAACTGCATTGCCTATCTCTGGTACATAAGACCCTTATCCTTAAAGCGCCATATTATCTTTATACAAAACTAAGCCTCCTCTGCCAGTACGATCAAAGATCCTCTAGGAATAAACTCATCTTACTTATCCCGCGGCATTCGACAGCATTGTTCACACGCAGTTTCTCGTACTGGGCACCCAAACTATATAACTGCTTATCAAGTGAGTATAAAGAATATAGTCTAAGCAATTTTAAAAAAAGGTTAAAGATGAGTTTAAAGCAGTCGGATGGCTAAAATTTTACTTTATGCATATCCACAGGTAATTGATTGTTTCCTTTCTCTGATAAGTGTTATATTCTAAGTTTTTTTTTCTCTATAGTTTGTGTCAATGTTTTCCAGGTCGGGTTGAAAAACAGCATAAGCTGACACTCCACCTTTTCGTCACTGTTCCTTTTAAACCAATTATTTTGTAATCGTGTGACGAATAAAGGCCATTTATTATTATTATTATTATTTCAAGGGGGATGAGGTAGGACATTGTAGGGGGGTGGATTTGTCGATAAAGATAGCTGAAAAATACCCCTCTTAAATATCGGTATGTCGGGACCAAACACATTGTATGTACTATAAAGACTATTTATACTATCGACCTAATTTTGCATTTGGGATATCCTGGTTCGTTACGCCAAAATACTCTCTTTCACTCATTTTGCTACAACCAAGCATTTGTAACTCTGACATTTGGCTATACTACAATCTAACTGTGGATAAATAAAAGCATCTATTATTATTATTATTATTAAAATCCTTCAGTCACAACCATTACGTCTATAATTTACTTTATTGTAAAATGTTTTTCTAATTAATATACTGGAATATTTTTGTTAATTCTCTTAAGTATTTTACGAGGGATGTCTTTTAAGTTTTGCATATAGAAACATAGTGGGCCGCGCAGATCGAACGTTAGTACTAAATCTTAACCTCACTCTTTAGTAAACTTAAATTAAAAGTTTCACAACAATACTGTGTGTTCTCACTACAGTGAATTTTTAAGTGTCACCAAGTCATTAGAAAAATGGAACTCAACAGAGAACATTTTCGCGCCATAATTTATTACAACTTTCAGAGACAATTATCGCAACAAGAATGCCTTGCTGAGTTACTGTCTGTTTTCGGCAACAAAGCGCCACATCAGTCGACAATTTCCCGTTGGTGTGGAGAATTCAAACATGGACGGGTGAGTCTCAGCGACGATCCCAGGGTGGGTGCACCAAAAACGGCAGTCACTCAGGAAAACGTCGATGCTGTGCGCAAACTCATCATTGAACATAGACATGTGACATATCGCGAGGTTGAGGCCTCCTTGAAGATCTCAAAGACCTCAATTCAAAAAAATTTACATAAAGAATTATGAGTAAGAAAATTAGTTTCTCGTTGGACTGAAGAGCAGAAAGCAGCCAGGGTTCATTGGTGTCAAAAAACGCTTGACCGTTTCAATTCCGGAAACTCAAAAAATGTGTACAGCATTGTTAGTGGTGATGAATCGTGGATTTACTGTTATGAACCAGAAAATAAACGATAGTCGGCTGTTTGGGTGTTCCAAGGTGAAGAAAAGCCAACAAAAGTCATCCGTTCTCGAAGTGTTTCGAAAAAGGTGTTCGTATAAAACTATAATTGATAAAAATAAAATAAAATATAATATAAAGGTGTAGTAGGCCTGATCACACACATAGGGGGGTCGCGATAAACTCATTCAAGGAATAAAAAGGATGTTTAACTAATTCTTGCCAAAGTGTGTTTTTAAAATGTTTTAAAGTAAGATTCTTAGTAGTGTTTTTTAGCTTGTTATATACCCTAACATCAAGTGAGTTTTTATCTGAGATCTTTAGCCTGTGAGCGCTAGGTTGAAGCAGATTGGAATACCTGGTGTTATATCCATGAACATCCATGAGAATTTATGCTTGTTCTTATGAATCTCAACAAGGCTCTGATAGATTTACATTGAATAAATTGTAAGCATATTTAATTTTATAAAGAGTGGCCTACAGTGGTCACGATAACCAGCTCCCGCGAGAATTCTAATTGCTTTTTTTTTTGTATAAAGACTCTATTTATATGGGTAGAATTTCCCCAGATTAATAAGCCATATTGGATGTGAGAGACGATGAGGGAGTAATAAACACTAACAAGGCATTCATTACTAAGGCAAGTTTTTAGTCTGCGTAGTAAGAATATGTTTGTGGCTAATTTGCTACATAGGGTTTCAATGTGCTTTGTCCATTTTGGTGAGCTATCAATTGTTATGCCAAGCAATTTTACACATTTGTTTTCTGCGAGAGAAGAGTTACTAGTTACTACTAGCCTGTTAGTTTTGTCTGAGTTTAGGCATAAGCTATTCTGTTTAAACCAATTGTTTGAATTTTAGATAAGCTTTGTAATATATGAAGGTTTTTGTGACTCTTTATAAGGGTGGTGTCAACTGCGTACAATACACAAATATCTGGTAATAAGTAGTAATAAAGATCATTAATGTAAAGGGAAAAAAGTATTGGTCCAAGTATGGATCCCTGAGGGACACCATACTTTACACCTTTAATTTCTGAATGTTTATTATTACTACTAACAAGCTGAGATCTTCCAGTCAGATATGATCTAAAAAAGCACAGAGACACCCCACGAAAACCATAATAATGCTCCATTTTACACAGCAGCTTCTCATGATCCACACAGTCAAAGGCCTTGCTAAGGTCACAAAGGGTAATTTGTACACTTCTTCCCCCTTCAAGGCCCTGGACTATGTGGTCAATAAGTTCCGCTAGTGCATTTATGGTTGACAGACCTGGCTAAAAACCAAATTGTTTTGGATTAATGTTATTTATTTTTAAAAATTTTAAAAGGCGGTGCTTTAAAATTATTTCTAAAATTTTGCCAAAGATAGGAATTATGGAAATGGGTCTAAAATTGTTTACATCAGATAGGTCACCTTTTTTGAAAACTGGTACTACCTTACTAATCTTAAAAACATCAGGGAATATTCCATGAGAAAGACAGGAGTTATATAA